ATGAAGTAATTTATTTTAGATCCCCTTCAAAAAGAAACAATAATACTGAAAAAGAGTTCAATCAGGTAAATATTACATTTAACTGTTGGTAACAATTTAGTAAATGTTGGTCAGGTTTAATAGAAAATATCTTCAATAATTGTATAAATTCAGGGTTTTCCTATGTATAAAGCATGGAACTTCACAACTATAGGCCCAGAGTAAAACACCTGTTATGTTGGAGGTCGGCTAAAGGCATGTGACAAAACAATCCACTCATACTAACAGTAATCCTTTTAGAGAACAACTGAAGCTTGAAGTTCAGCTTCAGACCCAAGCTAATTAGATGTTGAATTTAAACTTAACAAGGGTGGAGTTGTTGGTCCTGTGCTTAGTCCTGACTAAAGCCTTCGGCACTGTTGAACATTGTGGTTTTCAATTACAAAACATGCGCTTGACAAGATTCAAGCAAAAGTCTAGACTTCACAAATATCCGCCAAACCCATTAAGATAACTCTTCTAGCATCTTCACTGAAGTTTTGTTCACTGATGTTTTATTTGCTTGAGCTGTTTAAAGCAGTGTTAACTAAAATTTGTTAGCTGCTATCATGCATCAGCTACTTTGACGCATCATTTATATGTTTTAAATAGTTGCGCTGTGCGCTGTGCTATTATTTTGCATTTAGAATGATTTTAATTCCTAATATTTCTTTGTACATTACCGAGCTGGGAAAACTTGGTCAAATGCACAGATCCTCGAGATAAATCTTGCTTGTCTGGTTTAAAAAGGAAATGCGGCATCAAAGTGCAATGTGCAGTACTTTACTTTTTAAGATTTAGAGTAAGAGAACACAACAAAGAAGCCAGTGCTCTTTTGTTGACTGCTTTGGATAAAAGCATCCGCTAAATGTATCAATTTTACGTAAATATAAGAAGTCCCAATTAACATAGCCCTTTTGTCTTAATCATTTAGGGCAGTACAGTAAAGTCTATGGTATTTTCTCTCTTTTAAAGCTGACATCTGCTAAATATGATGTAGTAGGTTAGTTGGCACGATGGCAATGGTTGAACATGGTTAAATCACAGCAAAAAAGTCTCCTGGTTCGAGTCCTGGCTGGAAAAAAATAAGAATTAAATGGTAAAATACCAACTAAACAGCACAAAAAATAATTTTAAATTGTACGCAAAGCTAAAATGGGAAGAAGCTAAAATGGGTAGCACAATGCATGTTTCCCCCTGGAAATAAATCTGTTCCAGTTCTTCAGTTGCTGTGGATGAATGTGATCACCTCATACAGAGATTAAAAAAAGACCTGCATTCTGGTTACAGTTCACCTCAATCTGAAAATTCTATAATCATAAATTAAATCTGATGTCGTTTAAAAACTATAAGATTTTTGATAATACTCAGCGCTCAATTGAAACAAAAATGTTTAATAGTAAATGTTTACATGTGAAAAAAAAATCCAAAATGAGATCAATCTATAACATGAAGGCATTGTATCTCTGCACCACAAATTGAGAAAACTATTGCATTTGCATGGAATTTTTCCAAGGTAAAATTTTTCATTATAGGGGCAGAAATTCTAATTTCATTGAAATATCTTCAGATGTTTTCAAGATAAACAAAAGTGTAATAGGTTCGGAATGGCACAATGGTGTACAAACATTGCCAGAATTGTTATTTTGGGGTGAACTAAATCTTCAACATGAAGTACACTGTAAAAAAAAAAAAAAAAATCCGGTATTTTTTTTCAGCAGCTGGGGTGCTGAAAAAAACCTTAAATAAAAGCAGTTAAATTACAGTCATTTACCGTAAAATCACAGACATTAAATTACAGAAATTTCCTTAAATTTAAATTTCCAGTAAATTTCTGTAGTTTACAATCTGTTGTTTTATGACAAATGTCTGTAATTTAATGCCCGTTATTTTACATTTTTCTTCCGGCACCTCAACAAAAGATCTTTTTTATTTTACTGTGTAGTGAGGCCGAATCAATTGAGACAAATTGACCTAAAGCTGCTTTATTTTGGTTTGGCAAAATCAGCTAGTCATCACTGGGTTAAGAAAATAGGAACACCACAATAAAAGTGATTTGATTTGATATGTAACCTTTTCTATTCATGTAGTGTGGCTTTATTTATGTTTTATTGCTTTACTAATGTGAAAAATTACAAATATGAAAAATGGAGGAAGCATAGGATTTAAAATAAATGGAAGAAAGAGGAAGTTAAACATGAAACATTAAATTCTCGGCAGACAACATATTATGTCAGACGGCACACCTAAATCGAAAAAGCAGCTAAATAAATGAAGAGGAAAAAGCAAATACCATGATTAAGATATAAGAAACGTGAAACATCGTTCAAGATAAGTAGTATATTAAGACTTGTTAATCCAGAGGTGACATCACAGGCAGCCCAAAAACAGGAATGTTTGGAACCAATTATTTTACCAAATCACATATTCGTCCTTCTAGTCTCCTTGTAACACTTTAAAATGACCACATATTTCCATATTTTTGAATGGCATTGTCCTTGATCTTTATTCTAACAGCTTTTGATGCAGAACATTTTGGAAAAGTTATCTTGTTTTTCTGACATTTTGAATATCTGTATAATGGTATATTGTCTGTGCTGGTGATGTATATTACAATACAAAAACCTGCCACACACACTCACACACACACACACACACACACACAAACACACACACACACACACACACACACACACACACACACAAACACACATATATATATATATATATATATATATATATATATATATATATATATATATATATATATATATATATATATATATATATGTGTGTGTGTGTGTGTGTGTGTGTGTGTGTGTGTGTGTG